ACCAGGGAGGCTGTGCTGGTGTGGCTCTGACCTGACCAAGGACCTGACACCCTGCCAAGGTGAGCATCTCTGGAGTCTTGCCCTGTAGTTCCAGCTTGTCTTCGCGTTGATACCACAGGACCTTGGCCACACCGATTTCTTCAGGCACCTCATTGACACTGGTGACACCTGCCCTATCAGACAGCAGGCCCACTGGCTGTCAGAACAACTGAGAAAGGTTGCTGAGAGGCCCCTAGAGTAGACGCTGTGGGCAGGGACAGGGGAACCTTCAGTCAGGCCCTGAAAGTCGCAAATAGGCATGGTGCCGAAGAAGGACAGAACCTGGAGGTTCTGTGTTGACTACCAGCACCTGGAATGCTGTTACACAGAAAGACTCCTACTCCATATACCGCATTGAGGAATTCCTGGATCACCTGAGGGGGCTGTCCTGGTTTTCATCCCTTGACCTGAAGAGTGGATACTGGCAAGTGGAACTGACACCAGATGGCCTTCTCCATAGAGCATGGGATGTGGCAATTTACAATGATGTCCCAAGGCCTCTGCAATGCCTTTGCAAACTTTGATAGAGAGGGTCCTGTAGCCATTGCCCCCAAACCAGTGCCTAATTTACCTGGTTTAATATTTGGTGCTTGGCAACTCTTTTGAGAAAGCATTCCAAGCCCTTCGAATTGTCCTGGAAAAAATAACGGAAGCAGGGATCAACCTAAACCCGGAAAAATGCTACCTGATGTACAGAGAGATGTTCTTTGGGTAAAAGGTGAGTAGAGCAGACATCCCCCCCACAGAGAACAATGTTGCCTCTGATCAAAAGCTCCCAATTCTCAGGTTTTTCTTGGGCTGGTCACCTACTACAGGCGGTTTTTGAATGAACTTTCTCCTGGGACCTGAAGAGACATGGGGCTTTCAAGACCCTGAAAGAGGTGCTGTGCTCAGCCCCAGTCCTCGCCTTGACTGACCTGCGGTCAACTTTCATTCTAGACACAGTGCTCGTATTGAAGATGTCGGAAGGTGAGTGAATTATAGCCTATTAGAGTCACATATCTAGTGCACAGGAGTGTAACTGCATCACCAGACAGGAGTTCCTGGTTGTGGCAAACATGGTTCGCCATTTCTGGTATTACATCTGTGGCCTCCTCTTCATGCTGTTCACTCACCACAATGCCCTAACTGGCTTATCTCATTCTGGGATCCAGTAGGAATTTAAGTTCACTATGCACCAGCACAGTACTGGCAAGCTGCATGGAAGCACTGATGTGCTTTCCAGGAGACCCTGCAGTGTGGCCAGATGCAGGCACTGTGTGAGATGTGAACTGAGGACTAGACCCTGATTACTAGCTGCAGGATATGGGTTCCTGACCCAGCCAGGGGAGATAGCCAGGATCCAGAGGTTTGAGAGGCCAAGGACTGAAGTGAGTAAGAGTGAGCCTTTAAACTGTCTGGACAGTGGTCTGGATTCAGCATCCAAGATGGCATGTTAAAGTGGTGCTGGGTGCACCCTGCCTCAGAAGAGGGTAGGTGGCAGGTGGTTGTGCCCATAATACTTATGTACTTATGGGCCAGGTCTTCCAGGCGCACCACAGGGCTCAGAGAATGGCACATTTTGGTGTCATAAAGACCCTGAGTCTGGCAGGATGTCACGGACTTCTTTCAGTGTTGCAACACCTGCACCGTTCAGAAGGGGCCTCTAAGCCACTGCTCAGCCACCTTGCTACGATGTGCTGGATCCAGTTCCATGAGCGCCTCGCAGCAACAGGTACCTCCTCACGGCCATGGACCATTTTTCCTGCTGGCCAGAGGCTTATGCTCTGCTAGACCAGGAGGTGGAGACAATGCGTGAGGATTTAACCAAGAGATTTTTAGGCTAAATTGGAGTGCTGAAAGAACTGCACTCAGACCGAGGTCAGAACTTGGAGTCCCGAGTGTTCCAGTGCATGTGCCAATGCCTAGGTATTCAAAAGAGTCAGATCACTCCTCTTCACCTTTAAGACAATGGACTTGTCAATCGGTTCATCTGCAGCTGCATCAAGAGGACATGCTGCTGTCCCTGGTATTTGCAAAGCAACTGGGACCAGTTATTGCCCCTGGTGGTCCTCGCCTGCTCCTCAGCAGTCAAGGAGTTCACTAGCTGCACACCTTCCCTTCTTATTCTTGGTTGTAAGCTTCAGATACCAGCAGAGGTGGTCTTCTTTGCAGTCCCTGCTATGAACAAGTCAGAATACACTGCCCAGCTAATTTTTGTTCCCTCAGGAGCAGTTTACAGTTTAGAAAAAGGACTGGGTGCTCCACCTTGTCAAACTTCTGGGAGAAAACTTCTGGGGAGTGGTCCTAGGAGATCCATTGCGGTGCGAG